TTTTGTAAAAATCCGTTTCTTATTACAATAAAAAGCATAAAACATTTATATCTTAAATCTGTGCAAAACTCAGGAAAATTCAATAAATTTGCATAAAAATGTCTTGTCAGATTTTTTACAAAAAGTTTGAAAATACATTAAATTTTAGTATAATAAAGTGCATATTTGAAGTTGCTAAAAAATTGCGTGATTTCATAAAAGTTGTCCTATACTTTTATTCTACCATTTATTTCCGAGTCATGATCGTCTTGGTCGTTCAGCCCGACCACCAGAAACATAAAGTTTTTGTACTTTTTCGATGTGTTCGTTATTAATTTTTAGCGGTGCATTTGGATAGTCGTGCCCACTTTTATTTATTTATAATCATAAGTAGAATCCGACCGAAGGTAGATTTTTCGGCCAAAGCCAAAGCCGAACCGAGCGTTCGGTTTTGATCTAACATTTGGCCGAGTAAAATTAAAATTAAGTAAATCGATTTTTTCAAAGAATAAGCTCCATCTCTCCCTTGTAAGTGTATGTACATAAAATACAAAATACATTGGAACGTATTTATCTCTTGTTTATTAACAAAAAAATGCAATTTTCTTAAAATAGTTGTAGCATCATTTCAGTTTCTGTGCAAAGTCATTGTTATGTAGCAAATATATTTTTTTATATAAACTTTAATAATATAATAATCATATTTTTGCGCTTACAATTTTGCTAGGTGTTTGGCCGAGCTTCTCCTCTTATTTGTGGCGTGCGTCTATGAAAATATTGCCGCTTAATCGGCAAACCGAAGCCGAACAATCGGTCGGACTTTAATCATAAGTTTCGTTTTGTCGATATGATTTACAACCTTATCCAGTAGTTTTTCTAAGTCTTGCAGATTATTTGTCAGAAGTGTTGTATCTACCATCTGCGTATCCAATGTTCTTTATATATTTCCTATTTACTCCTTCCCTCGGGGTAACGTCGCGAAAATTAATCACTGTTTCTTAATGAATCGTATAAAAACTATTATTATTATTATTATTTGTTGTATTAAATTTATAATAAATTATANGGTTGAAATAATCGAACGATGGTACGAAAAATGAAATCAAAGAGTAAAGTAGAATTGAATAACTTCTTTAGCACAGTAACTAGCACACACTTTAGAAACACGTCTATACACGGCGAGAGATAGTCGATGACTATTTACTCCTTCCCTCGGGGTAACGTCGCGAAAATTAATCACTGTTTCTTAATGAATCGTATAAAAACTAAATACGCTTAAATTCATGATTTTTTTATTTTTTTTTAATTTATATGGAATCTACACCCATACAATTTCAGAAAATGAAAACAAAAACCACAAAATTTTTGTTTTAAGATTTAATTCAAAAAATGGGCTGCTGCATATCTGCAGCACCACGCATTTATGCATGCAATTTTTTAGAGCAATTATGTGTCTTATTATTGAAGCAAAACGAGACTCCACAATTTCCACGAGGGCTAATTTGGAGTCAATGCCCAACATTATCTGTTAGCAGATCGATTAGCAGAACATACTTGTACTGGTCCTCGCCTTTTCTTTGCTTGAAGCTCCTTCACAAACCTGTTTTCAACACTAAGTCTTCCACCCATAAATGCATGGTGTTGCAGATATACAACAGCATGTTTTCTTGAATTTGCATAAAGTTGCAGATCTACAACATTCACATAAACACAATTTTAGCAAATACCATATGTATAAAGGAAATTTAATTTATTTAACATTGAACTATAGATGTCTAGGTAATGAATGAAAATTTTTTATACACTTTCTTAAGAAAATATGTAAACCAATTTAGCTTGGAACAAAACGACATTCTAACTACGCACGGGCCACCCGCGAAGGCTTAAAATTAAATGATGATATATCAATCAGCAAATTTTAATAAATCAAAAAAGTTCTGCCATATTGCAAAATATATCTTGCAGTTTGTTATTTATTTATGACATCATACATTGATACAATATTCTTATTGTAATATTCATTTGAATCGTATGTTGCAGTTTTGCAACAACATGCATTTTCGCCTTCAACTTCGGGTACACGAATAGGCGGCGCTACCCCAAGGGTAATACGCAGTTGGCGTCGCTCAGGAATGGTGATAAGTCTCCTAAATTTGTGTCAAAAGTAACTGTTTTTGGTTTTGTTATAAAAACTTAACTAACCTGCGTTGATCATATTAATTCTATAGTCGGCAAAGTATATTATACTCTGCGGAATCTAAGAACGTCTGCTATCTTTATACCGGTGTGCATTGTACTCGTTGTTGCCAGGTCATTGAACTGTTAAATCGTCAGTTTGGCTCTCAAAAATCGTCATTTGCATGTAAAAATCGGCAACATAAAGAATGTACACGAAAAAAACTGGTCACAGTTAAAACGTTCTAAAACATAAATATATTAATGGAATTCAACGATATTTACATATATTTACATCTAAACTTAGTTTTATTGAAATTCGTTAAAAAAGAGTTAATTCTCTTTGTAATAAGCAAACGATCGCAATTTTGACTTTATGTCCTTCATTAGCCCTTGCACAGAAGTTTCAGTGATTTCCTTGGAAACCAGCTGCCATTTATTTTTGAATTGTTGTGCGTTTTTTACAGCTTTGTGGGTCTTAAGAAGTTTGGATTTCATAACGGCCCAGTAGGTTTCGATCGGCCGATGCTCTGGACAATTAGGTGGATTCACCTCTTTGCTACAAAATACACTGTTTCTATGTTACCATCCTAAAGTAGCCATTTTTCCGTAATGACATATCGCGAGATCAGGCCAAAAAAGCACTGGATCTTTATGAAGCCGTATAAGAGGTAAAAGTCGCTTTTGCAGACACTCCTTAACATAAATTTCTTGGTTAATTGTACCAGTGCTTAAAAAAGGATCACTTTTGAAGCCGCATTGGCAAATTGCCTGCCAAATGAGAAACTTTTTGGGAAATTTGTCAAACTTTTTGGGAAATTTGTCAAACTTTTTGTTTTTATATTTATCTGCAACATTGCCTCTTTTATTTTCAGTGTGAAATTCGCGGCCCCGGATTTGTTTAAAATCGGCTTTTACGTACGATTCGTCATCCATAACAATACAGCCAAATTTTTGTATGAGACTGTCGTACAATTTCCGAGCACGTTGTTTCGCCAACAAATTTTTACCGTTGCGATTAGGTGCTGCATTCACTTTGTAAGAACGTAGTCCTGCTGTTTTGCATACTTTTTGTATATACGAAGACGACATGTTTAATTTTTTGCCGACATCTCTTACCGAAAGTCCAGGATTTTTCTTAAAAGCAGATAACACTTCCTTTGCCTTAATTTCACAAGCAAATCCTTTTTTTCTGCCACTACCAGGGTTCCTTTTTAAAGATAAACATTCATTGTATTTTTTAAGCCATAAGTAACGGTAGACTTTGGAAATTTTAGCTTTTTTGCGATGTCGTTATGGAACATGCTGGGATTTTCCAGCTTTTTGCGCAATATTAACTCGCGATCGATTTCTTTCTTGGTCCTCGTTTCTACACTGATTTTTGTTACTAAAAAGAAATGATGCAGTAAGGGCCTGTGCCAATTGAAAGAAAAGTTCTATGGTGGAAAAACTTTTTACTATGGTGAGAAAATTTTACATTTCTGCTGTGCCAATTCGTAACTTTTTACTGCTGGAAATTTTTGACAGTTGCTTTGATGAACAAGAAGACTATCGAGTTTGCAATTTATAAAATGCAGCAATTATATAGAAAATATTTGCCTTTGATGATTTCAATTCTTCTGGAACTGAAATCCATGCATTTATTAGACCTTTTAGCAGTAATATTAGAAATAAAAACACGTCAAAACCGTCTGGTAAGTGTGTTCACAAAAATGTTTAAAACCGTGTACAATTGTTTGCAACAAAAACATATGTCGTTTTAGGGTATTATGTACATGCAACAAGACGTTTATTCCAAAATACTAAGCAGCATTATGAACGGCGATAACAAGACTACAAAAATGCATCTTAGGTTGTCCTCTGCTTCGTTTCGAAAAATTGTAACTCACATTCCCAAAAAGCGCCACGGATGGTCAGTGGAGTACGAAGTCATTTGCTTTTTGTATTGGATGGCATGTGGATGCAGCTATCGAGTAGTTGCTGGATTTTTAGGCATAAGCCGTTTCACTGCACGAAACGTTATTCACAAAACCTTGAAAGAAATTATTGCAATGCGTGGTTTAATACGGCATGGCACTGCAGAAGAAAATGAAAGGGTTGCTGATAAATTCTGCCAAAAAACAAAATCAAACGCGTTTCGTAATTTTGTTGGAGCGATTGATGGCACACATATTCGCATAAAATGTCCTGTCAACAAACACGATGAATACATCAATCATAAAAGGTTCTATTCTATCCAGGCGCAGGCGGTTGTGGACAGCGATTATAAATTTACAGATGTTTTCATTGGCTACCCAGGATCTGTACACGATACACGAGTGTTTGTGAATAGCCCCTTATATGCTAGGGGAGACTATCCTCCCCGGGGCCAATTCTTATTCGGTGATAAAGGATACCCATGCCAAACGTTTCCGGTGGCAGTTATCACCCCATTCAAAGAACCTCTGACATCAAATCAAGCCAGGTTCAACGTTGCGCATAGATTCCAGCTTTTGGAATTTTAAAAAATAGATGGAGAAACATATTTAATAGAGATTTGGAATTGAAAATTGAAAACTGTATAAAAACCGTATTTGCGGCATTTATATTGCACAACATTTGCATTCTTGCAGATGATTTTGACCTATCTTCCCTGGCTACTGAGAATGAAACTATTAATATAGAATCGGTCCAATCTGCGCGAAATATATCCGACTCTGAAGATGGTTTAAGAGTACGAAATGAAATTTTCAATGAATTCATTCAAACTATTTAAGTATCAATAAAACAAGACTTAATTAAAGAGTTTCTTAGGTTTTTATTTACATAGGCATATCAAAAATACTTATTTTTTTTTTTAGTTTTTTCATATCAGTCTTATTTACATTTACTTAAAAATATAAAGTGGTATTCAATACCATCACAATAAAAAGAAAATCATATATGGAGATCCATTTTGTTACTAAGCCTACTAGTTTTTAAAGAGAGTAATATATCTTAAACTAAAAAAATTCATCACATTACTTATTGTACTGGTTTTTCTTATATCTAGAGGTACATGTTGTATAAAAATAATAAATTAAAGTGAATTCAAGCAACAAACAAAACAAAAAATTAAATACTACACTTCTACCAAAAAAATATTTACATAAAAAAGATAAAATAAAAAAATTCAGTTAAAAATATTTCCTAATGGCACGGACTACTCAGAATCCGAGTGTGAGGTCAAGAGCAGCGCTGATGCGTCGATGTGCGGATAGTCCGTCTGCACCATTTGCCCAAATACAGCCAAAAGCGTTGATATTTTTTTATTGATTTTTTTATCCCTTTTATAAATGTGGCGTTCTAGTTGCTTAACGCCATTTTGTGCTGCAGAGCGCCGGGATGTTGATGGCAGCGGACTCTGTCTCGACTCTTCGCTAGACGTCGACTGCGAATTTGTCAAGGACTCAACCGGCTGCAGTGCCGAGACAAATGTGGCGTTTTCCTCTCTCCTTGGCTGCATCGACACCTCACCATCGCCGCTATCAATTAAAAATGGAGGGTGAAAATTATCTTTCTTGGAAGCATATGAGTGGATGCAGTCAAAAAACTCCCAATCTTTCGCCTCTTCAGCAGTCGCCTCTTCACCTGTTCCATCGCCCGAGCGGTATTTGAAAAAGCTTTTATATTTTTTCATCAACGCATTCCATTGTGCTTTACATGCTTCAGCACTTTTACCGTCCAGGCGATCCTTCAGCTCATTCGCGATTTTTCTAAGAAAAAACTTCTTAATAAAGTCTTCAAATTATTTATATTGTTCTTACTTACTTCCAGCCTTCGTTGCTGTTGGCGTTCTTTGAACTGAACCAAACATCCTTGTCAATGCGCTTTTCCAGAAGGATTCTGCGTTCTGAACTGCTCCCTGTAAAATAGTATTTTTAATTAAAAAAATACATAACGCCTTTTCATATGTAAATCTGAAATTAAATCTTACAAGTTATATAGCTTTTCTTTATTTTTTTTGCCGGCGGGACCATTTTCTTTTATTTCCACTCGCTTTTGTTTTCTTTAATTTATGTGTATACGTGCGTTGTTCGTTCTTCTTCTTGATAATGCTTGCTGTCAAATTTTTCACTAGCCCTGCCGTATCAAACATTTTTATTCACCTCATAGCTGTCAAAAATTTACTATCCAGAGAACTTTTCTATCAATTGGCACAGGCCCTAAGGTGGAAAATGCTTCCAGCTTTTTAAGTGTCTACCGATTTTTATTTTAATGTTATGATTAACCGAGCTATGCTTGGTTATGTGCGACCAGTTTTTTTCGTGTACATTCTTTATAAAAAACACAACCAGGAAGCTCTTTTGGTTTTTTCATTTTAATCCAACTTCTGATTGCTATACGTAAAAAATAAAAAGTTTAACTTTTTTACGAAATTTTATCAAAAATATTTTTAATTGCAATAAAATCACATTTTCATTTCGACTTTGTTCCTGAATTCATATATAAACGTACATATATTCTGCGTAATGAAGAAATTAAACATTGTTTCACTATACATATAATATATTTAATGGGGTACACTTTCATTTTAAAAGTTCAACAATATCCGTCGCCTCAGGGAATTTTATATCAATATATCAAGTTGGACAATTTGAAAATTGATATTCATGATTTTGTAAAGTTTTAGTTGCAGATTCTATTTACTATTAATTTAGATTGCTTGGTAAGATAAAAATATCAACATATTTGAGTTCCTGGCTAAAAACTACCCCTAGAAACCTGGGGAATTTTTCGAAATAGCCCGAAATAGCTTACAATTATATACATTTTGAGTTCTAAGACGATAATAGATTTATATCAAAAAGTTGTGACGTTCAAATGCGATTCGCTAATCCAATATTCAAGATATTGGGGGGAGTCTTTGACAAAATGTCTGTGGACATGTAGAGCAACTCATTTCTCTACTAATATCATGAAAAGATGAAAAAATTTTCTTTTTGAACCGGTGTATTATAGGCGGCAAAGGGACAATCAGCTGAAAAGAAAATACGAAAACAAAATATTTTCGCTTCTGGCTAAGTTGACGTGTTGAGTAATCATCAATCAGGTACAGCCCTTCAAGACGAATTTATTTGTGCTCAAAACTCAATGGCTTCTTTTTCTTGTCTTGAAAACACCAATGAAGGCAGCGAAACTGATAACTGTGACTCCGATGACTCTGGATCTAATTCTACATGTGGGCTCCGCACGAGTTTCACAAATTGGACAATCTGGTAGAATTTTTCTAAAAATTCCTATAAAAAGGTGGTAAAATTTTGTTGATTTTTTCTAATTTTTTAGAAAGTTTGAAGTTTGGATTTATATGTTTTTTTAGATAATGAGCTGAATTTAATAATAATAGTAATAATAATAATAACAATGATAATAATAATGACTATATGTACAGTAAGCGACAAATGGAAGTGTACGCCTTGTTTTAATATAATATTCACAGTTATTTTCATGAACCATTGTTTGCATTCATTATTTATGAAAATATAGTTCATTCTGTAATTCAAACCATATAAATCAAAGCTTCACACTATATAAAGTTCACAAAAATTTAAAAAAATTTTTATCAAAAAATTCAACTTTTTACTCAGAATCTCTGGAATGCAGTTTTGTAGCCCATTTAATTTTAGTCAAATGAAGTGCAAGTTTCCAACGTCTAAAAAATCCCGTGGATTTTGAGAATTTGTTTTAGTTACGGATTTTGATGGGAGACGGTTAGCAACAAAATTTAAAAAAATCAACGCCAGTTTTTTCAAATTGCGCTTGTTATATAAAAAAAAACGCCAATGCAGTCTCAAAAAAAAAAATCCTCAAAAATTAACGCGATTCTTAAGCCGGTTGAAACTTGTACTGTATAAAGTGTGAAGCTTTGATTTATATGGTTTATATTACAGAATGAACTATATTTTCATATTAACACAGTTCGACAAAGTTTGCCTTTTTTTCAACCACCCGAGTAACACATCGTTTCTTGTAGATTTCATAGCTAATACCGAAGTACTGCACATTAAAACTGGTATATCTCGAGAAAGAAAAAACGAATCGCAACAAACGAAAATGAATTTTAAAGGGGGAGAGTATTAATAAATGATATCTTAAGTAGAAATGAGCTGAAAAATTTGTTTTCATAATATAACCTCAAAGAGCCAAAAACACGGCTGGGATATCTCGAAATTCTGACGTGCTAGAGCAATTCTGCGGCTAGATTTGGATTCAGCACCAGCAAATCTACCAGAAACGATGTGTTTTACTCAGGTGGTAAAATTTTGTTGAACTGTGTAATTAATGAAAAAAAAGTTTCATGAAAATAACTTTATAGTGTATATATCTGAACAAAAATTGAAATAAAATATATATTTGGCGCTTACACATTTGTCCACTTGCTCGTCCTAGCTTTTCCTCCAGTTTGTAGTGTGCGTATTGATGTTGTTACAAAAATGGAGGGACCGACATACAGTTTTACCCCGCCTGCGAACAGCACACGGTTATATTAGAAGTTAGTTTATGGCAGAAATGAACTCGGAGGTTGGGCATTGCCTGCCGAGGGGTGGCTCCTATTAGAAAACTCTTCGATGTGATTGGGGCTAGGAGTCGAATCCTTGATCTACCGAGTGGTAGTGCGCACCTCTAACCACACGGCCATGCCAGCTTGCCATATAACTTTTAATATTCGTACCTACTAAGATATGCGACGCCTTTCCCACGATTAAATTCCATTCGCACTGTCATAACAAGCGCGTGCGAAGGATTAGATTCGTGCGTATAGCATCCGACGAATATCTGAATGATTCATTAAATTAGTATCTAAGGTTGTTGTCTTATTTCCCAAACGTCTTTTTCTCTTGGAATCGTATTTACGCTTATTTGACTCAAAAGACGGAAAGAAATAAACATACTAGCTGTTAGACTAAAAACCAGTATTGCTTGCTGGCGAGTGGTGTGTGTTTAGTGCCAGTTTTTTTTTCTTTCGGCCGATTAACTTTATGAGTTTTTGACTGGAAGACGAATTTATCTCCAAGAAATATAACAATATCTCGTGTGTATTTATGAAAATACATATATATGCATGTAATATGCGCATACCAGATACATTGTGCGTATGATCTTGAATATGTATGTAACTGTAGATGCCCAAGAATGGACATTAGTCTGGGTCGATTTTATTTCCTATAATGAGTATAGCAAAAACGTAATCTACGTAAGAAAATTCGCGCTTGAAACCATAGGTCCCAAACAGAGACCGGCTTTGAGTACTAATATAATTAGTGTACTTATTGACTGCTTTTACACAGTTCAAGTATTGAATTCAATTCTGCTCGCATTGGGAAGAGAGGGGGTGAGAAGAAAAGGGACGAGTACACATGCGTCTGTACCGCCAAGTCGTTTCAACTTGTTTGCTTTGCTTTTGACATTTTCGTTGCTTCGCATTTAAAGAACCAAAAACTTGAATTCAACGGAATTGAAGCGTTTAAAAGCAGATAGAAAACAAAAAAGAGAATGAGCAAGAATTTCTTTGAAGTACTTGAATCATGTAAATCGGTTGATTCATGCTCCATAACAAATAGTGCAAATGAGTACTCACACTAATTCCAAAAATTACTAAGAGTAATTTCCACCAAAACGAGAACACACTCGGGGGAATCAGGGAATGGCTTTAAATTTGGGGGAATTCAGTATACAAACAACTTTGATTATAACATTCCTATTGAGGATGAAATTGCATTTATAAATTATAACTTGTGATAACAATCTCTTATTTTATTATTACAGGTTCGAAACGTTACGTAATTGCCTCATCAACCGTGTGGATATTGCAGAAATTGAAACCGTGCATAGCGACATTTTTCACTTCTTTCATGTTTTCATTTGACACTCTCTTTTCTCGTTTCGTTTTCGCCACCAAGCCATCGTATTAGTTTTTTATATTATAAACATGAAATGTTAAAAAGACTGTCCTTATTACATACATACATACATATATCACAATTAATGATATGTGTGCATGAAATGCCTTAAATATGTCGCAAAATTCATTTGGGGGATTTTCATTGAAAATAGGGGAATTTTTCAGGAATTTCGGGGAATTTCGTATTGCTCCCGTTTGTACATGTTTTGTTGCTATAAAAGACTAAAGTCACTTAAATCATACGGCTGAACTAAATTTTATGTTTGTAGTTTGAATACTTTTATTTTAATGATTTAAAAAAAAGATGCCGTGCATTGTAAAATAACAGTATGGGTATCAATTAAAAGTTAAAATGAAAAAATTCTGTAGAATTTAATTTTTGCGTGCACCAGGACAGTATTGAAAATGCCCTTTTAAAACTTTATCCTTTAATATCCTTGGAAATTTCCAATATTTGCTTTGAAAAAAATATATGTCAAGGACTAATACGTTAACTACCACATCCTCGAATTTCGTCCTTCTAAATTTATTAGTTTTAGATAAAAAATAATTTACACTTCTCTTTATAAGATACTAGCTTTTTCCCGCGGGTTTCCCCCCACGTCTTTATACAAATATGATAAATACTTTATGTAACGATGTTATATTTCATTTCTTCTCTAATTTTAATATAGCCGTGATAGCATAATATGGTAGAATCAGTGGCGTAGCCAGGGGGGATATGGGGGGATAGATCCCCCCTTCGTCATTGAACTACAATTACTTACTTTTGAAATAATAACACAATACTATTTTATCCTTCTGATTTAAATTTTTTTATTTCAGACGGATGACAAATTATCTTTTAATGAATATATGAGTAGTCCACTTGCAAACAGCTTTATGTGATTTTATAAAAGTAAACCATAAATTAAAAAAAAATGCCTACGACAACAAGTAACATCCGAACTGTATCTTTTTATATTACCTGAAAATTTGGATGAATAAGAGCCTAACACCATTAAAAAAATAAAATTGCAGTATAGTAGATTTGCAAATTTTATATTTAAAAATTTAATATTGCAAGTTTTGAAACAGTTTACATAGCTAGCTTTTTTTTTAGCTTTTCGCGTTCTCTCCTCTAGGCTTCTTTTTTGCGACTTCTCCCACTAGGCACCGAAACTACCACGTTTTCTTGCAGTTTTCTAAGAGGAGAAGAGGAGACATTTGAAAGTGTATAAATAAGTATTATAGCGACTTTTGCAAGAGTAGTTAACAT